CCACCTGGATGATGCGACGGCAGCCATAGTGCACCAGAACGTTCACCACACATCAGGATCAGGGGGGAGGAGAGCAGAGTAATAAAGCCAATTCATATATTGTAGTTGCTGGCAATGAAATGTCTTTTTCTGCAAGCTCACAAAAATTACAAGAATCACAAAAACACAAAAATCACAAAATTGAGGTTGTGTATGCAATATACTGTATACATGTAGTGCAGTTATGCTAAATATAGTGAGAATTGTGTGTCCATGTAGCCATTACAGGTGATTTGCTAAGGAGCTACAGGTTGGCTATTTAGCAGTCTTATTGCCTGGAGGTAGAAGCTGTTCCGTAGTCTGTTGGACTTGGACCGAATGCTTTGGTACCGTTTACCAGACGGTAGGAGGGAAAACAGTTTGTGACTGGGATGACTGGGGTCCTTGAGAATGGACCTGGCCTTCTTCAGACATCTACCTGAGTAGATCTCCTGGATGCTTGGTACCTCACAGCTGGTGATGAGCTGCACTGACTTCACCACCCTCTGCAATACTTTGCGATCCCGTGCGGAGCAGCTCCCATACCAGGCAGTGATGCAACCAGTCAGGATGCTCTCAATACTGCACCTGTAGAAGTTGGCCTGGCTATGTGATGGGATCCCGAACTTCTTTAGCCTGCGGAGAAAGAACAGGCGCAGCCGTGCTGTCTTGACCACAGTGTTGGTGTGGTGGGTCCAGGTTAAATCCTCTGAGATGTTAACTCCCAGGAACTTAAAGCTGCTGACCCTCTCCACTGCAGTCCCATTATTGTGAATAGGTGTGTGGTCTCCATCCTTATGTTTCCTATAGTCGACAATCATCTCCTTAGTCTTACTGATGTCCAGAGAGAGGTTGTTCTCCTGGCACCATACTGCCAGGGTTTCAACCTCCACCCTGTACGCAGACTCCTCACCACCTGTGATCAGGCCAATGACTGTTGTATCGTCCGCAAACTTGATGATGGAGTTTGAGTTATGCCTGGTGACACAGTCATGGGTAAATAAGGAGTAGAGGACAGGACTAAGCACGCAGCCTTGGGGGGCTCCAGTGTTTAGAGTCAGGGTAGAGGATATGTTGGTGCCCACCTTCACCACCTGTGGATGTTCCGTCAAGAAGTCCAGGATCCAATTACAGAGGGAGGTGTTCAGTCCCAGGTCCTGGAGCTTGATGACTATGGTATTGAATGCTGAGCTGTAATCAACAAACAGCATTTTTAACAATGTTCCTTTCTTATCCAGGTGTGAGAGGGCAGTATGGAGGGCAGTGGCAATAGCATCTTCTGTTGACCTGTTCTGGCGGTATGCAAATTGCAGTGGGTCTGGGGTGTCAGGCAGTGAGGAGGTGATGTATGCTTTGACCAACCGCTCGAAGCACTTCATGATAACTGATGTGAGTGCAACAGGGCACTTTAGTCATTTAGGCAGCTGACTCTGGATTTTTTAGGAACAGGGACAATGGTGGTTTTCTTAAAGCAGGAAGGAACTATAGACTGAGCTAGGGAGTGATTGAATATGTCCGAGAAGACATCTGACAGCTGGTCTGCACATGCCTTCAGAACGCGGCCAGGGATGGCATCAGGGCCAGGAGCCTTGCGTGGATTGGTCTTTTTAAGAACTTTACACACATCCGCTCTGAATATGATCAGTGGGTTTCTGTCTTGAATTTCTGGAATCTTCCTGACTGGATCTGCGTTGCTGACCTCAAACCGAGCATAGAATGAATTTAGCTCATCAGGAAGAGAGGCAGACTGTTGTGCGATACAGCTGGGTTGCGTTTTTAAGCAACTTAAAGAAAAACATTACCCCTTGCCCAAACAGTGATTCTAACCAGGAGAGAAAAGCCAGTGTATCTTTAATGCCTCTTTCTTTGTTCACCATGTCTTTTAGTTCTTTCAAATGCCGAATAGCGAGCGTAAGATTTCCGTAATCATCGTCATTTGCTGGAATATATGTAAAAGATCTACGGTCTGGCTTTGGAAATCCTGCCACTAGACTTATACATTCAGAAATGTGACTACCAACTGGTCGGGGAAAAAGTTGCATGGGTGAGGCTGTAGAATGAGGCATTAAAACACATACATAACAAGATGCATTAAATTTCTTTAACTTTACAGTATGATTTATAAATTTGTACCACAAATTACTCATA